TGTAACAGGGGATGGATAATGCCAAGGCCACCTTTTGTTCTAGGCTGGGTGATGGATCGCCACGCCACCTGGTTGATCACGTTTTGTTTCTCATGGCCACCCCTCCACAGGAAGGCGGTTATCTGCCGTTGCAGGGGCCGTAAGTCTTTCTTATCTAGTGCCCAGATTGCTGATTTGTACCACAACGTGACCAACACCACGTTATTGATTATCAAGGAGCGCCCAAACAGGGAGGTGTGTTTGTCCTTCCAAAGCGCCATTTTTGCCAAAGGCGGGCCAGTAATCCATTCAGTGTTGATGGGTGGCCTGCCTTCTGCCGTTATTGAGATTCCCAACACTCTGATGGGCGCTTCCTTAGGGAGCCAGTTTAGTCTAGTTTGTTCTGGTGGCCTCAGCCCTTGGTGGTGTATCCACCATCCTTGGGTTTTGTTTCCCCAATTAACTTTCATGTCTGAGCAGTTCGAGAAGCGGTCCATCATGTTCTGTACTTCTTCCATTGATTCTCTCGATGCATCTACCATTAGGGTTAGGTCGTCTGCGAATAGCGAGCAAACCGGAATTGCCTCCTAGGGGATTGCAGACGCCTGGATTCTTTTTATATCCTTATGTGTTCTTAGGTTGACCACTAATGCTTCCATGACTATGACAAAGAGGTAGGGGGCTATCGGGTCTCCCTTCCTTACAGATCTTTGAAGGCTTATGAGAGGGGCCAGGTTACCATTTACCATGACTCTCGTGGTCGCATTGGCACGAAGGATTTTTATCCATCGCCTGAAAGATGGCCCGAAGTTAAGTTTTTCCAAACACTTATCTAAGAAGTGTCAATCCATGTGGTCGTAGGTTTTCTCGAAGTCAATGAAGATGATCGCTGCATTGCTCTTTGACTATCTTGTTAATTTGATCATCTCGTTTACCAAGAGGATGTTATCTTGGATATTTCTGTCTTGGATGAACCTCGTTTGGTCAGGATGTATGATGTCTGTCATTACTGGCGTTAATCGATTGGCGAGTGTCTTGGCCAACATTTTGTAGACGACCGTGAGCAGGGTGATGGGCCTATAGTTGCAAATGTTTGTACTTTCCCCTTTCTTATAGAGTAGAGTTAGCACTCCTTGCCCCGCCAGTTCTCCTGTCTATCCTGTGTTCCATACCGCATTGTAGTAGTCCATCAGGTCCTGTGACATACATGCCCACATGGCCTCCCAGAATTTCTTTGGTAGGTCGTCAATGCCCGGGGTTTTGCCCTCTTCCATTTGCATCAGTGTCATCCATATTTCCTCTTTTGATAAGGGCTTATCTAGTGTGTCTCTTTGTTGTTCTGAAAGAGGTTTATCAAACGGCCTTAGGAAGTCTTCGATTTCCTCCCTCCGCTGTCTCTCAGTTTGACGCCCACATTCTGATGTAAACAGTTTTTGGTAAAAAACTCTTGCAATTTTCGTGCAGGCGGCCGTGGAAGTGAGGAGAGGTCCTTGATTGTGGTTTGGATCTTCAAGGGCCTCAATTACCATTCTCCCTGTTTTAGCCTTGGCCATTGCGAAGAATCGTGCGTCCATTGCTCCTTCCGTATTGTGTATGAAAAGTTTGCCCCGGATCCTGACTCCTTGCCATCTGTGTTCCATGTAACCTAGGAGTTGAGTTTCCATGATTTGGATGGTCCTGGCTATTTTAGCTTGTTGGTCAAGGTCTCCTATTCCGTCCTCCTGTTGTTGCAATGTTTGTAGCTGATGTTGTCGATTCGCTTCTTCCGCGTGATGTCGCGCTGCAAGCAACTTTGAGTACTCGTTGCACTTGCGGCCTAAAAATGCTAGGCCGTTGTTGAACCATAGTATGTTGTCGTTGATATGGTCTCTCTGGTTTTGCCAAAAGGACCACACTTCTTTGAGATAAACTTTGAAGTGGTCAATAGCTAGGAGGAATGTATCGAGTTTGTAGAACTCCCTGCCTTGGTCCGTTTTTTTTCCGAAACGAGAAGATGGCCATGCACATCGCATGGTCTAGGCACGGGTAGGGACTACGGGGAAATATCTCTGCTACCTGAAGGGCTCCTTCTAGTTCTTCTGAGATCAGGATTAGATCTATTCGAGATTTCGTTGCTCTCTCTGTGCCATTTTTACGGAAACAGGTGAACTTTCGATTGGTAGGGAATTGTCTCCGAAAAGTGTCGAAGAGGTTCATGGTCCGTGATAATGCTGTGATCATCCTCTCGTCTTTCTCTACATAGATTGGACAGGGTGAAGGGATTTTCCACCTGTCTAGCCAACGGTCTGGGGCAACGTTGAAGTCGCCTGCAAGAATCGTGGGGATGCCCACCGGTTGTTTGGCTTTGAGGGATTCAAAAAAAGTTTGTCGTGTGGCTGGGTCGTTGGGGGCGTATATATTTAGGATGTTTACAGCTGTAGCCACTCCTCTATATCTAGGAGGTCACCTTTCTGCAGGGCCCCACTTCTGAGTAAATTCACCAGAAAGGCCCCAATTTTTGCTGCTGACCATAGTTTTCCTGGCTTAATTTTTAAAAGTTGCAGATCCATAAGGGCGTCGTGGTCCAGCCAGCGCAGATCTTCAATTTTCTGGTTGTCGTACCGCAAGAAGATGTCCTTGGCACCCAATCTGTATCTCCCATAGGTTTGGACCAGTGCCGAGGTGACCGCTTCCGGGAGCTGCTCTTTGGTAAGTTGGGCTATGTCTATTTTTCTGAGTATCATACTTCCTGCCCCCGATGTGAGGGAGAGGAAGAAGGAGGAGCATCCTTGGAGGGTTACTTCTCCGTGTGCTGCTCCCGGTGGTATCGACAGGCCCACCTCCCACATCCCTTCTCTTTGCCTCACTAGAAGCAAGACAATGCCTTTTTCAGAGGGCGCGGCGTCGGAGGGCGTTTTCTCTAGCAGATGGCGGATTTTTTGCCTTCTGCTGGTGAGGTCGCCCTCTTGGGGTTTTGGAGGGGGGGGGAGTCGTGTTGTGTTGGATGAATTGGTGGGTGGGGGGGGCTGTGTTGTGTTGGCTGAATTACTGTCGTCGCCGGTTCCCATGACGCCAGTGCCATACACAGGCCTTTTGCCTGTCTATTATCATTTTCCACCTCTTCCGGTTGTTTTCCTTCCTTGATCCTTGCCTCCCCTATTCTGGTCCCTCCCATTTCCCACGTCTCCTCCTTTAGTCTTCCCCTTGGCCTGTTCCTCCTCCCTCCGTGTTTCTATGGCCTGTTCCTTCCGGTTGTCCTTGTCGTGTTGTGTCTGTTCTTGTTGTCCCTCCCTGTCATTTCCTTCGTGTTACGCCTGTCCGTGCTGTTCCCCTTGCTCGACCTTCCCCTTGACCTGTTTCTCCTCCCTTCGTGTTTCTATGGCCTGATCCTTCAGGTTGTTCTTGTCGTGTTGTGCCTGTTCTTGTTGTCCCTCCCTGTTGTTCCCACCATGCTGCGCCTGTCCATGCTGTTCCCCTTCCTCCCTTGTCGTTTTTCCTTTTTTGGATTCTCGCCCTCCCGACAGTTTTGGTTGACACGTTTCCTCCTTGGTTCCCATCTCCTTCTCACGGAGCTTTTCTTGAGGCTGTTGTGTTTTCTTGTCGGGCCCTATGTGGTCGTCTCCCTCCCTTGAATCCAAGGGTGTGCTGTTTTGCTCAGGGGACGGGGGGTGCAAGGGGGTCTGGATCACCGGGTAAAACTCGAGGACTCGGCCCTATCGAGTTTTTTCGTGAAGTACCACGTTGTTTTCCACAGGAATGTTTCTTGCAGGTAATATTAGCCAGGTACCGGTCAGAAGACTTGGTTCGCCGGGGAGGATGGCAGAGTTGCCGCCCGAGCGTTTTTTAGCGAGTTTTTCGCAGGAACGTATTTAGCGTTAATAGTGGTCAGGTACTGCTCAGCAGACTTGGTTCTTCGAGGAGGCTGGCAGAGTGTCCACCCGAGCGCCTTTTCTCGCGAAAAATGAAGGTCAGGGCAGCCTGTGACCAGGTTTCAAACGGGCCAATGCATAGGGACTAGAACACCGGGTTGATGAGTAACATGTCGACCGGGAACGCCCGCGTACGGGTGAGAGTATGTCCGTAAACTTATATTTATAGGGGGTAGATGGTTTCATTCCTCAGGCTGAGTGGCGAATGAGTGGAAGTGTTGAGATCCTCGGCGGTGTGATGTCGAGGCATGTAGGGGAGAAGTTGATGTCGCCATGATAGTAAAAGAGTGGAAGGGTTGAGATCCTCGGCGGNTCGCCATGATAGTAAAAGAGTGGAAGGGTTGAGATCCTCGGCGGTGTGATGTCGAGGCATGTAGGGGAGAAGTTGATGTCGCCATGATAGTAAAACTCGCGTCTTCTTCTTCTTAAGTTATATCAATTTTTGTGTGATTTTCTCTATGGTACGCAGCCTCAAATTCGACCTTGCCGTGGCTTGGGCACGAATCTGAGGTGCCGAATCTCCCTTGCGAGATCGTGCTTGCTTTGTTTTCCTATGTCTAATCAATCATTCATTCATGTAATCATTTATTTGTTTATCAATTACTTAGTCAATCGATTGACTGATTAGTTCATATGCTTTCCGTTCCTCATTTGCGATCTCCATTGCCTTTGTTATCTTTGGGAGCATGGCTTTCACTATTTTCATGCTTACCACTGGTTGAGTATATCCTGGCTCAGCCGCAGTCACCAAAGGGGAGAGCGGATGATTACGCATCGCCAACTGTTTGTGTGGAGTCGGTAGTGCTGCACTGATGTTCTCGTATGAAGCGCTGGGTAGTATCAGTGGTGATATCCGAGGTGGTGGCGGATCCCATCGCCTGTAAGCTGCGATTTGGGACGCTTGCTCGGAACGGCCTTTTAACGCAGTGAGAGTGTGTACTTGCGTACCTGTCTAATAGCCAGGGAAGAGTAGCGGAAGGTGGACGATACGTCATCTAAGTCATCCACGTCTTCCAAGTCATCTACGATATTTACGCCATCTGCGTCATCTTCGCAACGCTCTCCTTGCGTATCTTCGCACATCCGGGTGTATCTGGGCGCGAAGGTGGACGGGTGCTCCTGCTACTGCACGCAAGCGAAGTTGCCTGTGTCATACCCCTCTTACGGGTGCGGCGCTCTACACATCGGGTGGGATAAGGAGGCTGTCCACCTACCTCATGTTCTGGCACTTCCGGACCTCCGAGCTACAGACTGATACAAAGTTCAACGAAGTGAAGAACAAGATTAGCCTGGGCCTTGGGTGGATACTGTTTGCTTTCTCCGTGCTGAGTCGTATGTACGGAAGAAGCTGTAACGGGAGCCGAGGAGCTAGGCGTGGCCGCTGGTCGAGCTGTGGTCGGTACTGGACGAACATGAATGGCGGACATCAGCTGCCAAATCAAGCTGGTACCGGGCAGTATAATCCTGCGCCTGTGCCTCCGGGCATTGTGCCAACGTATGTTGTGCCCACTGTACAAGTGCAAGGTGCGCAGCAGCAGCTACCGCCGGTGCAACAACAGGTACCTCCAGCGAATGCAGCACTGTCCGTCCCGGTGAATAGCGGAACTCACCCACAGTATGCTATGCCACCGATTGCTGCACTATGGGCTATGCAAGCGTGGCCGACCACTGCGCAATGACCTGCTGTCATTCCATGGCAAATGCCCCCTGCTGGGAATCCTCTTCCTCTACCTCTTCCTCAAACATCTAATGTGCAATTACCTAGCGTCCAAGTAACAAGCGCGCAGAATGGTGATCTCCCCGGTTCCAGAGCTCAGACAAATGGCGATGGCCGATCGTCTAATCAGAACCATGGGAAAGGTCCGACTGCGAATGCTTTTCCAGGCCCAGGTAACCAGGCATATTTTACAAAAGAATACATGGACATCTTGGAGGATATAAAGTCCGAAAAAGTTCTCGACGCTGCGAAGAGGAAGATTTCTGGAGGCAGGATTGGTGGCGTGCGAATTTCGGGCAGCACAAACGAGAGTTGCAGGTCGGAAGTCCGCTCGAACAGTAAGACCGACGATATGAAGGCATGGGTTACTTCGACCCTCGGAGATTCACTGAAGTTAATCACCCAGAAGCTTGAGGAAGTGGACTCAAAATCCAAGCTGGTGGCCAGCGAGAAGGAGGAGCTAATGCGACTAAGAGCGGAGAAGGCTACCCTCAAGAAGGTCAAGAAGGAAGCGAGTAGCGAGAAGCGAAAGCGGGTGGCTGTTGTAGCGCCCGCCGCTGTGACGCCTGCCAACAACGCGAAGTCCCGATCGAGAGGAAGTTCGAAAGGGAGATCGCGCCGAGTTGAAATCTCCTCAGACGAGGAAGACACTGCTATCGGTCAGGTGCGGCAAAACTTGAGTGAAAAACTGGAGAAGAGCAGTGACTTATCCAAGGTGAAGAAAATGCTGGCCGCGATCGCACAAAGTCTCGCCGACGCCAAAGGCAAGCAGCCGGCGGTGGATCCTGAGGAACAGCCTGTCAAGGAGCATGGAATGGAGGAAGAGGACAATGAAGATGTGGACGTTGCCGTGAGCACCCCTGATCATGAGGAAGAAGAGGTTGACGAAGGTGGGTTGGCCGCGTATATGAAGATGCGGCAGGACTTCTACATGTCCTTGCATTATACCATGGTGCAGGAACTGTGCAAGCAGGGAGAAATTTCTTACTTTCGTAAGGAACCAGCAGCTTAGGAATTAGCGAGGTTGGATCTGCAAGAATACGCGGACCAACTAAATGGTAATGCCCCAAATGGGGTGAACATTGGGAACAGGGGAGCTGAGCCCTCTCGCAAGACAACTGCGAGGAACTGTGATAACCCAGAGTCTGGGAACGAGAAGGGTGGTGACTCAATTGTTGGTAACTGATTAGGGAGCTTTCGCTCCTTAAAAAGAGCATCAAGGCGCATTAGTGCCTTGCGATGTTCTGTTGATAGTTCGCTGCAGGTGTTGATGGATAAGATCCAGGTCTTGATTATTCTTTTGGCTTGCCTAAGGGGGGATATTGCGTGGGGACGGGCTTACTTACCCTTCTGGCTACGCATGACTGATGGAGAGTGGGGCAGCCTGCTTGATGGCCGCTGTTGCGTGTATGCACTCATGTCAATAGACTTTAAGTAGGTGTACGTCGGGAAGACTATATGCCCACTGAGGGAGAGGTGGTCTGAGCACTGCAGGGCTGTAAAAACCGGTAGCAAACAACCGGTATACTCTTGGTTGTGTAAGGTTGGTATCGAACACTATGTTCCAATTCCCATCTGGTTTGCTGCTGCCCTCGCTGTCGAGGGTATTGAACCTAAGATTATTCAGAGTCACAGCCCAGACTTGAACTCAATAGGTCGCAGGCTTGCTAAGTCTTCTTGGAAGGGTCGGGGGAAGAAGCGTTCAGGTTGTTGGCCGCCCTTGGCTGCCATATCTGAACCTCTGCTTTTTTATTGTCCTGATCTTAAGATCTGCCAGGAACCAGACCTACTGAGGATTCTCAAACTGCTGAGTAAGCGGAGAAGCCGCAATCCTGTGAGTATTAGCAATAAGTCGGGGTGTCGCTGGTTGAAAGCATGGCGACTGGTGACTTTGCTGTTTGGTTTTTCTAAGATTGAGAGTGATGGTGAAAAAAAGTTGTTAAGAGACGCTAAGACTTCAATTGAGTCAGGTGGTTGTTGGTTCATCACCCAATTACTTAGAACTCAAACTAAGTATGATCTGATGAAAGCCCACCTTATTGCCCTCTTGCGTGCGCCCTGGAAAAGGAGTGATTTGTATGCCTGCTCTTTAGAAGAATTAATTGACTTTAACAACGGGGTTAAGACCATTAACCAGCAGCGTGGTCGTCAGATCATTCAGGGTATCCTTACAAATGTCTTCAAACGGAAGTTCGACATTAACCCAAGATTGAGTATCACTGTTAAAATTCCCTTTTGTACTACTGCAGACAAAAATCGAGTTGTTGTTGCTGTGAGGGACTGGATTCTGTCACATGTTGTTCCAATTTCGCTTGCTGACTTGTATGCTAGGAGGACGAGAGCAGTATGGATGAAAGCCCATACTGTCGGAGACCTGTTGCATAACCAGAAGCCATTTGCGCAAGCACATGTTTTTGACTGTGTATGCGCTGGCTTTGAACTGCCTAAGTTAAATGGACATGTTGCAGTCAAACTAAGCGAATTGGATGGCATTGACCCTTTCCTGTTTAACTAAAAAAATGTTCCCTTCCCTGGAACATTTACTAGCAAGGATGCTCTGAATATGGCTTGTAATACTGTCATCTCAGAGCTTCGACGGACTGGTGTGGTACAAGGGGAGATTCAGGTGAATTGGTTATCCGTTTGCAAGGCCGGGGTACCAACGCCTGATGGTTGTGTTTTGAGTGAGTACGTTAAAGGTGTTGGGCAGTCTCTGTCGGGTTTGGTCCTGTCCCCCCTCGACCGCAACACATCAGAGATTTGGATTGAATGCCCCAAGTTGTATGAGATGGGGCTTCGGAAGATGTACATTGAGAATGAAAATGACGAGACTATTCAGTCGTCGAAAGAAATGGTCCTCACCGGGATGAGGAAGAGATATGGCGAGAACCACTTGGATGAGATCAGTAAGTGGGATCCCAAAGGTGATGTACAACATGTGTACGTTTTGTCGAAGGAGATGGACAAGGAAAAGAAAAGACTCATTGTTCCGTCTTTCTTGAGCCCCTACCGGGCTGCCTCCGGTTTACTTTCCACGGCTTTGAACGCGCTGATTAAGCGGACGAAGGCACCAAACTTTAACCTTCAGGCTATCAGCGACCTGAAACCTGAGGTTTCCAGGATTAACCAATTGATACCAAGGGGCTATGGGCTCGAAGCACGCACATACGACATCAAAGAAATGTTTACTCAACTCCCCCACACGAAAATTATCCGTGCTGTTAGGTGGATGGTGGAACTGTTTCAGCAGGGGGGGATTAAATGGATTCGAATTAAACCCCGGAAGAAACTAGCCACATTTGGCAAGTCTCACGGGGAAGCCGGTGGAAGTCAATCCGACTAAGAAAGCTGGTAATTTTAACCAACTTCCAGCTGGACAATACATTCTTCATGGTCTCTAGACTGATCCTCCGATAGAAGCGTGGAATTCCTATGGGTGGGAGGGCAAGCCCTCCACTTGCTTGCGTGATGTGTATGCGCGCTGAGTTCACCTTTTTATCTGAGCTTGAAAGTGATGCTCGCCTGATTTATGGGAAACGGTATATTGACGACCTGTTAATAATTGCCTTCTTCAAGAAAGGTGACCAAGTGAGCCGTTAGCTTGCCAAGGATCGACTGGATCGCGTCACCAGCTGCTACCCCGATGGACTGCAGCTTGAACGCACAGACAAGGGTACAGGGGTCCTTGATTTTCTTGAGACCCGTATGCTGGTTCTTAACGAAGCAGCCCTGGTGATGTCTCATAAGTTTAAGAACGGAAACTCGATCTGGGATGCTGGCCCCCTGAAATTCCGAACGTACAAAGATTAAGCCTCATTTGGGCCTCGCCTGGCGAAGTTTGCGACTGTTGCCAATACCATTCTCAAAATCTCCAATAACTCCAACCAAGTGGGGATCACGTTTCTCAATATCCTCAGCCTTGTTGAGGAGCTCCGCAAGGCAAACTACCCTGATAAAGTCGTGCTGGCAGGGTTGGACTGGATGTATCGGCGAGATGGCAGCAGGATCTGGAAAGATATGTCCTGTGTGATAGAAACATGGTTTGCAGACAGGTAATCGTGGGTTATCCCACAAAGCCGGGTACGTGATACGCGGGAGACTTTCTAGATGCCAACTGGGCATTTTTGGCTTGGGCTGCGTGCTCCACCATCGGGCTGAGGCGCGCCGGTGGGTCTAGTGTTTTTGGTGTGACCTCCATTTTTCTACTTTTGTCTATTTTTCTGCATTGTTCTGCATGTTCCGGATTTTTCTGGTTTTGTCTGGACTCTCATTGGCTCTTCTGCAAGGGGGTCTGGATCACCGGGTAAAACTCGAGGACTCGGCCCTATCGAGTTTTTTCGTGGAGTACCACGTTGTTTTCCACAGGAATGTTTCTTGCAGGTAATGTTAGCCAGGTACCGGTCAGAAGACTTGGTTCGTCGGGGAGGATGGCAGAGTTGCCGCCCGAGCGTTTTTTAGCGAGTTTTTCGCAGGAACGTATTTAGTGTTAATAGTGGCCAGGTACCGCTTAGCAGATTTGGTTCTTCAAGGAGGCTGGCAAAGCGTCCACCCGAGCGCCTTTTCGCGTGAAAAATGAAGGTCAGGGCAGCCTGTGACCAGGTTTCAAACGGGCGAATGCATAGGGACTAGAACACCACGTTGATGAGTAACATGTTGACCGGGAACGCCCGCGTACGGGTGAAAGTATGTCCGTAAACTTATATTTATAGGGGGTAGATGGTTTTATTCCTCAGCCTGAGTGGCCAATGAGTGGAAGGGTTGAGATCCTCGGCGGTGTGATGTCGAGGCATGTAGGGGAGAAGTTGATGTCGCCATGATAGTAAAAGAGTGGAAGGGTTGAGANGAGGCATGTAGGGGAGAAGTTGATGTCGCCATGATAGTAAAAGAGTGGAAGGGTTGAGATCCTCGGCGGTGTGATGTCGAGGCATGTAGGGGAGATGTTGATGTCGCCATGATAGTAAAACTCACGTCTTCTTCTTCTTAAGTTATATCAATTTTTGTGTGATTTCCTCTAAGAACTATGTGGAGGATCTTGTGGCAGATGTCAGGCGAATCTATCCCGTCTGGCAGACCCTGCATTGTGGCTTTGTGGAGACTTTCACTGCTCTCCAGGAGCGGGATCAGGTCTCTATAGACCTTGTCTCAAAATTCCTCGTTCTCATTTCTGTACTTTATGTGTAGACTGTCCATTAGCCAGTCTTCCACCTCCTGTAGGCCTACCCCTTGTGTCTTGCTGTCCTCATTTCCTTCGGAGTCTGCCGATCCAGATGTGCGGTTTTCGTCCAGGTCCTATGTTTCTGACATTTCCAGTTTCGGCGGCGGAGGGGGTGGGGGGGGGCCAGGGAGGATTTCCACTTCCATCGGGTATGGGCCAAAGACATCTTTCAGCAAGTCTTCTTGGGTATGGTCCCCTCCTCCCTCCTGGCTCCTTTTTCCTTTTTCTGGCTGTTGAGCTAGTACCTCCTTTGAAAGGCTAGATTCCCCACTTCGTCCCCCTTTTGTCCGTCCACAGTCTCCCTATTGGTATGTCCTCCATTGCAGCTGGTCCCCAGTTCTGCGGTTTTTTCTTCTCGCGGGGTTGTTTAGTTTGTGATTTGGTCAGCTTGTCTTTCTCTTGAGGGGGGGGGGGGACGCCAGCCCCTTAGTGACCGGTGCATTTTTATCTGCGATTTTAGGGGTGTGTGGGGGTCCTTCATTCTTCTCGGGCTCCTTTGGTGGGGGCGGGGCCCATTCATTCGGCGGCCTGGTGGCTTTGCAGGGGTCCCCACGCCCCTCCCATGTCCAGACTTTGGCCTGACCTCTGGGGTCTAGGTCCTCCAGATAAACCCATCCCTCGTAACCCTGGTCCGCTATGTACCATCTGTTGGGTCTGCGTGGGTCGCGTTGCAGGCGGCCTGCCATTGGGCTTTTCTTGTTGGGATGTTGTGGGCGGGCTGATTCCATGATCAGATGCCCGTATGCCCTGCATTTATAGCACAATGGCCTAAATTTGTGAGTTGTGTGTATTTGGTAGGTCCTTCCTCCCATCCTGTAAGGTACAATGTCGTCTATCGAGAAGATCTGGTCTTTGGGGAG